ATCATATATTTTATGGTCAACTTGTCAATTTCTCTTTTTTAATTTTTAAAAACGTACTATTTTATTTGAAAGGCAGAGAGGTGGACACACACACACACACACACACACACACACACCCAGGAGAGATTGAGAGATCTCCCATCTGCTGGTTCATTCTCCAAATGCCCACAACAGCCCAGGCTGGGCCAGGCCAAAGCCAGGAGCCTAGAACTCAATCTGGGTCTCCCACATGGGTGGCAGGAACCCAACCACTTGAGCCATCATTGCTGCCTGGTAGGGTGTGCGTTAGAAGGAAACAGGAATCAAGAGTGGCACCCACACATCAACTCAGGCACTCCAATATGGGATGCAGGTGTCCCAAGTGGCACCTTACTGTGCTGAACACCTGTCCCAATTCGTCAATTTCTATTAAAAAAAAGTCACCTGGAATTTTGCTAGCAAATGCAGTGAATCTATGGATCAATTTAGGATATTGCTATCTCCAGGATATAAGTCAGCTTAACAATATTAAGCCAACCCATAAACAAGAGACATCTTTCCATGAGATTAGGTCTCTTAAAATTTTTAAAAATCGCGTATATTTTTAACTTCTATAGTAAGTTGCATAAAAAGTGCACAACCTGGGGCCAGTGTTGTGGTACAGAAGGTAAAGCTGCTCCCTTGTAGCGCCAGCATCTTACATGGGCTCGTTTGTGTCCTTTGTGTCCTGTATCCTTTGTGTTGCTCTACTTCCAATCCAGCCTGCTGCTAATGTGCCTGGCGCCATGGCTCATTTGGTTAATCCTCCACCTGTGACGCCGGCATCCCATATGGGTGCCGGGTTCTAGTCCCAGTTGCTGCTCTTCCAGTCCAGCTCTCTGCTGTGGCCCAGGAGGGCAGTGCAGGATGGCCCAAGTGCTTGGGGGCCTGCACCCGCGTGGGAGACCAGGAGGAAGCACCTGGCTCCTGGCTTTGGATCGGCGCAGCACCAGCTGTAGTGGCCATTTGGGGAGTGAACCAATGGAAGGAAGACCTTTCTCTATGTTTCTTTCTCACTGTCAATAACTCTACCTCTCAAATAAAAAAAAAAGTATAGCAGTTATAAAGGTTAATTGTTTAGAGCTGAGATGTTCTAGATTCTTTTCTTCCCTCTATATCTATGTTTTTCATATCCAAATACAGTAGTCTTACATAATTTAAAATTAAGTCCCAATATTATTTCTATGTAAGAAGCATAAAGTAGGAAAATAATTTTAGAAGACCTTTCTTTGCTGCAGATTAAATTGGAGGAAGTTTATACAGAACTTAAATATTTTTATTTTATTATTTATTTATTTTTAAAGATTTATTTATTTACTTGAAAGTCAGAGTTACACAGAGAGAGGAGAGGCAGAGAGAGTCTTCCATCTGTTGGTTCACTCTCCAACTGGCTGCAACAGCTGGAGCTGCACCAATCTGAAGCCAGGAGCCAGGAGCTTCTTCCGGGTCTCCCATGCGGGTGCAGGGGCCCAAGGACTTGGGCCATCTTCTACTGCTTTCCCAGGCCATAGCAGAGTACTGAATCAGGAGAGGCGCAGCTGGGACTAGACCCAGCGCCCATGTGGGATGGCGGCGCTTCAGGCTAGGGCGTTAACCGGCTGCACCACAGCGCTGGCCCCAGAACTTAAATATTTATTTTAAGTATAAAATAAAGGGCGTTAGGGGTGCAAGTTTGCAGTTATGATTCATCATAATGAATACATATTTTTAGTAAGAATTTTAATGCTAATAGTCCTTCTTAGAACATGCAGCACAGTTTATAAAATAAAAAAAAATGTGGGCCAACATATGGATTATGCATTTAAATTTTCTTTTTAGTATTTTTAAAGTAATATAACATAAAACCTCTGGCTTAATGAACTCCTAAGTTACAAATATGTTCAGGGCACCCCCCAACCTCTAATGCTTTGACTTATAGGTAAGTTTCTTTTCTGTGGGACTATGTACTCTCAAAGTAGAACTGTTTTTAAAACTTGTACTCCATAGCACCATCTGCTGGTGAAATAAGTGAAATTTAATCATAGTGGAGCGTGATAGGCTCCAATCTTCACATTCTAAATACATGAAATATTCTGGTCCCAACTTCCTGTTCTCTCTCTCTCTCTCTCTGGATTTTTTTATTTTTATTTATCTTTATTATTATTTTTTTGTTTTGACAGGCAGAGTAGACAGTGAGAGAGAGAGACAGAGAGAAAGGTCTTCCTTTGCCGTTGGTTCACCCTCCAATGGCCGCCGCAGCCGGCGCGCTATGGCCGGCACACTGCGCTGATCCGATGGCAGGAGCCAGGTACTTATCCTGGTCTCCCATGGGGTGCAGGGCCCAAGCACTTGGGCCATCCTCCACTGCACTCCCTGGCCACAGCAGAGAGCTGGCCTGGAAGAGGGGCAAGCGGGACAGAATCCGGCGCCCCGACCGGGACTAGAACTCGGTGTGCCGGCGCCACAAGGCAGAGGATTAGCCTAGTGAGCTGCGGTGCTGGCTTCTCTCTCTGGATTTTTATTTTTTATTTATTTGAAAGGCTGAGTTACAGAGAGAGAGAGAATCTTCTATCTGCTGGTTCACTCCCCAAATGGCTGCATCGGCCAGGGCTGAGCCAGGCAGAAGGAGCCAGGAGCATCACCCAGGTCTCCCACATGGATGCAGGGGCCCAAGCACTTAGGCCATCCTCTGTTGCTATCCCAGGCGTTTTAGCAGGGAGCTGGATAGGAAGCCGAGCAGCCAGGACTGCTGGTGTCATAGGCAGAGGCTTAACCTACTATGCCACAACACAAGCTCCTAGTCCCAACCTTCTAAGCTTAAATACTATGATGCTCAGGAAAGATAAACAATTTGTCAAGTCACAGATATTTTGCTAAAGACTTATATACTATTACAAGCTAAAATTTCTGTAGGTGCTTTGAAAATATTGAAACTTAAATGGAAAACCAATTTATCCTTATGATGAAGACTCTGGGATCAAACTGAGTCCTGCTTCTGGTTTCAGTGCTATCTTAGGGCAAATTAATTAATTGCTCTGGGTTTCCACTTTTGCTTCTGGAAAGTTGGTGACATGTACATGCTGTGTGCGAATTTCCCAATCAATGCACAAGGCACAGTCTCGGATGCAAAAGCAGAGGTTTATTTGTTACCAGCCGGCTGGGACCCCCTACCCGCACACAGCCCTTTAGCAGTGCACAGGCAAATGGCCCTCTCATTTGCATAAGAGAGGTTTTTATAGCCTCACACTTACAAGGGTGCAGGTCATCTCCTACGTAGGTTACCTTCTTACTCTCTATATGCCAAGGTATTGGGACCTAACATGTTCACTGGTTCATTTAAACGTATAGGCTATATACGTTATGTGGCGGGAAGGCCACACAAAGGGGATGGCACAGGGAGGCACTGGTGGGAAGCATTGGGCCATAAATTCCAGGGGAGCTGGTGGGGAGCAGGAGGTCATAAATTCCAGGGGAGGTTACTTTCTTTGTTCTCAAGGACCCGGTTTGCCTCCTTCAAGGCCCAAGATGAGACCTATACAGCAGGCAGGCAAGCAAGCAAAACTGGCATTTAGCAAGCTAGGGACTCCAATCCCTACACATGCTTCTTGGGATTTGTGAGACAGGCAGAAGTAGTAGATAACGGAGATAAAGCACTGTGCTGATCACTGTGGTGATCAAAAATGGTGATATTTTTATTCACAAGTGGTGGAGCTGCTTTTGAATCCAAGCGTCCATGATTGCAGTGTCCATGCTCTTAAAACATAGTCATACCAGCTATAAGAGACCGACAATATCATACATACAAAATAAAAAATCCATGAATGTTTGATAGCATGATGCATCAAAATACAAATTACTTCGTGGAAAATCTGGGTTAAAAGCATGAATTTATTTTGGTGCTCCCTAAAATGATTCTAGTATCCATGTGTCTTTCTTTCTTTCTTTCTCTCTTTCTTTCTCTCTTTCTTTCTTTCTTTCTTTCTTTCTTTCTCTTTCTTTCTTTCTTTCTTTCACAGATAGAACCTAAAATGATTCTAGTATCCATGTGTAGTTCCTTCCTTCCTTCCTTCCTTCCTTCCTTCCTTCCTTCCTTCCTTCCTTCCTTCCTTCCTTCCTTCTTTCTTCTCTTTCTTTCTTTCTTTCTTTCTTTCTTCTCTCTCTTTCTCTCTTTCTCTCTTTCTTTCTTTCTTTCTTTCACAGATAGAACCAGACAGTGAGAGAGAGAGATAGAGAGAAAGGTCTTTCTTCCGTTGGTTCACCCCCCAAATGGTTGCTACGGCCAGAGCTACGCTGATCTGAAGCCAGGATCCAGATGTCTCCTCCTGGTCTCCCATGCGGGTGCAGGCCCCCAAGCACTTGGGCCATCCTTCACTGCCCTCCTGGGCTACAGCAGAGAGCTGGACTGGAAGAGGAGCAACTGGGACTAGAACCCGGCACCCATATGGGATGCCGGCGCCACAGGTGGAGGATTAACCTAGTGAGCCACGGCGCCGGCCCATGTGTAGTTTTATCATTGTACACATTTTTCACACGTGGAAAAAAATTTACCAACAAAATAAACTCACGCTTTTAGTTATATTTTTCCACAAGCTTTTGGAAGTACCTTTATATAAGCCCACTGGCATAGCATACATTTCATGAGATTCTTCCACTGGGAGAGAGAAGAAAGTTGGGTCTCATCTTCACTACTGGGAAAATAGGTTACTAATTATTGTGTTCTTGGTTTGTCCGTTAGGCTTCTTCTCTTTGAGTGACAGATGCTGTCCTCTTGGTCTTGAGGGTGGGCACACCACCAGGTCTGGACAGTCACAGCCCCTCTCTTCTGCTGGACATAGTGAAATTGTCCAAAGGCTTGTGATGCAAGGACATGCAGAGACTAGAGGCTTCAGAAAAACAGAGAAGAAGGATATCCTAGGCCCCATGCAAATACCTCCTAATACATTGTAGAGGAGACCCCGAACTGGTATCCCATACTCATTCTCCTCTTCCTCACTTCACAACAGAAACCTGGAGCCTATGGTTATTAGCCTTTTTTGGAAGAGGCATGACCATGAGAGTCACTGATGAAATTGTAAGTGGAATCATTGAATGGCATTTCTATAACTCACTTTAAACCAGCAGACTTGCTTTCCCATTCTGTTTTCCTTATTCCTGCAGGCTAGAAAGTGGATGTGGCAGCGACAGCTGTACTCCTGTAGCTGAGGACAAGTTAGAAGATGGTAGACCAACATGCTGAAAAGACAGATGTTCCTCACTAATTATGTGCCCTATCATCCCAGAAAATCCTCAGATGATCCCCAGATCCTTACAGTGTTGCAAGCAACAAGTAAGCACAGGCCTTGAGAGGTTATTCTTTCCCTACTGTTCTCATCTCTCTCTGGAATGGCCTTGAAGGATACTGAGCAGGGAATATCCTCCCAGCAGGCAGGAACAGGGGCACATCAGTTTGATCAGCCACTGAATTCATTCCATTTACTGGAGAGCATGTGCGCTTTTGCTGTTCTTGTCCAGTGACTACTGCATGAGGACCTTTCAAAAAAAGGTTTCACAGAAAAGTGGAATATGTTCATTTAAATTCCAAAAAGTTTGAAATCCATGCATAGTTTTTTAAAAATGAATTTCCATGAGCTTTTGGAAGTACCTTGAAAACAGTTCCTCCTTTTAAAAAATGGAATTGAGATTTTCCTATATTCTTTCACTGTTGACTGGGTTTTTCATTGAAAATTTGCCATTGGTAAAGAGACCATGGAGATCCACATCCAGATCTGACCAAGAAAAGCATGTATCACCCAGAGATCCCCGGGTTTGGAACGGGGTCTGCGACTGGATGTGGATGATTTTTGCTCGTCCACCTTTGGATAGAAGAAGAGCCTATTTTCAGTTTAAAGAAGGGTAGTTACAGAGTACAGGCATTCCTAGAATCATATGGGAAGAAGTTTGCATGTGGCTTCCACAGAGCCACTGAGCAGTTTGTAATGTATGATGGGTATTCTTTGTGTCTAGTAAACTATCCTGACTCTATTTTCTTTCTTTTAAAAAGGTTCATGTTTGTTTGTGTATTTATTTGAAAACCAGAGAGAGACACAACAACAGAGAGAAACAAGAAGAGATCTTCCACCTACTGGTTCCCTCCCCTAATGCCATGACAGCCAGGCCTGATCTAGGTCAAAGACAAGAGCCAGAAACTCCATCCAGGTCTTCTACGTGGGTGGCAGGGACTCAATTCTATGAGCAATTATCTGTTGGCTCTCACCGTGAGCATCAGCAGGAAGCTGGATTGGAACCCAATGTCCCAATGACATTGTGCCACAATGCACACTCCCATTTCCATTTCCTAGTTATAGATCCTATATGCCTGCTTGCCAGTATTGAAATGTAACTCCATATACAGAAGATCAGTTTAGCATACATTAAGTAAAGATTTCAACAGTTTGCTCCCACACAGAGAATCGAAAATGAATCTTGATGTGAATGGAAGGGGAGAGGGAGTGAATAAGGGGAGGGTTGTGGGTTGGAGGGACGTTATGGGGGGGGGAAGCCATTGTAATCAATATTCTGTACTTTGGAAATTTATATTCATTAAATAAAAGTTAAAAAAATTTAAAAAAAAAGAAATGTAACTCCATATCTGGCCAATAATGTTTCCCCTTCCCCTGAGAAATTAATAGGCTCAGGGAAAGGCACTTGATTCAAGCAGGTCAAATGAGAGCCATTCCCTGGGATTAATATACTGATGCTGGGAACAAAGAATTCCATTTCTGCCCGCTTTGTTAATATGAGTGGATATGACCTGAGCACGCGCACAGACTCTACCATGTGGAGAGAGGCTTCTTGAAGAATGAAGCCAAACAGAATTATTCTGTCTGAGATGAGAGATAGAAGGAAAGAGTCTTGCTGGTGCAGAGTCCTAGGATTTGCTCCCTGAACCCCTTATTCTTGTAGCTCTTCCTTTTTTCCTATGAGCTTTATGTCACCTTTTCATGCCATTGCATGAGCTATTAAATTCCCTTCTTTGCTGAAGTTGGTATAAGTTTAATTTTTTGTTTTGTCTTGATGTTGAAACAATTCTGACTAAAAAGGCTTGCTATTATGGCCACTGTAAATCTCATCTCCTTCAAGGTGTTTTGGCATTTCAAACTGTCTCTTGCCAAGAGAAAGATCAGGACAATGTAGGAAAGATTTGAAGAGTAAAGTTTCTCATTGGAAACACTATTTGTGGATCTATTACATGAGATCATCAGTACATAAGATAAGCTCAGGAATGGGGTACTGAGTCACATACAGCATGGATGAACTTTGAAACCTTTTGCTAAGCGAGAGAAACCAGACACAAAGACTACATACTACAGGTGTCTGTGTATTTGCAAGGCTGGAATAGATAAATCTGTGATTCCCGGTGGCTGGATAGAATGGTGGATGCAGAATGCCTGAAAATGGGTACTGGCTTGCTTTTTGGGTGACGAAAATGTTCTGGAATTTGATAATATTAATGGTTGCACAACTTTCCTGAACATGTCAAAAATCACAGAATTTTATATTTGTATTTATTTTTAAATAAATGCATATCATCAAATGATTGTGAAAAAATATTTGTCAGTTTTGAGTTATATGCGCAATAAAACTATCAATTAAGAATAAGGACTGGCCGGCGCTGCGGCTCAATAGGCTACTCCTCCTGTGGCACCGGCACACCAGGTTCTAGTCCCAGTCGGGGCGCTGGATTCCGTCCCGGTTGTTCCTCTTCCAGTCCAGCTCTCTGCTGTGGCCTGGGAGTGCAGTGGAGGACCTGCACCTGCATGGGAGACCAGGAGAAGCACCTGGCTCCTGGCTTTGGATCAGCGCGGTGTGCCGGCCACAGCGCCGCAGCGGCCATTGGAGGGTGAACCAACGGCAAAAGGAAGACCTTTCTTTCTGTCTCTCTCTCTCACTGTCCACTCTGCCTGTCAAAAAAAAAAAAAAAAAGAATAAGGACAAAATAAAGACATTTCCAGTCAAATTAAAACAGACTGCTGGGGGCCAGTGCTATGGTGCAGTGGGTTAAAGCCCTGGCCTATAGCGCCAGCATCCTATATGGGCACTAGTTCTAGTCCTGGCTACTCCACCTCTGATCCAGCTCCCTGCTAATGCGCCTGGGAAAGCAGTAGAAGATGGCCCAAGTCCTTAGGCCCCTGCACCCACGTGGGAACCCCAGAAGAAGCTCCTGGCTCCTTGCCTCAGATGGGCTCAGCTCCAGCCATTGCGGCTATCTGGGGAGTGAACCAGCAGATGGAAGACATCTCTCTCTTCTATCTCTTTCTGTAACTGTGTTTCAAATTAATAAAATCTTTAAAAAAGAAAAACAAAAACAGACTGCTGCTGTGGCACAGCCATTAAAGCTACTGTTTGTGATGCTTACATCCCAGGTTCAAATTCTAGCTACTCTGCTTCCAATCCAGCTTATAAGTACTTTTTTTTTTTTTTGTAAAGATTTACTTATTCATTTGAGAGGCATATTGACAGGGAGAGAGAACGAGAGAAAGGGAGAGAAATCTTCCATAAGCTGGTTCACTCCCTCTATGCCTGCAACAGATGTGGCTGCACCAGGCTGGAGCCAGGGGCCTGGAACTTCATCCAGGTCTCCCACGTGGGTGGAAGGAATAGGAGTGCTACACTATCATTTGCTACTTTCCTGGGTGTATTAGCAGGAAGCTGGATTGGAAACAGAATAGCCAGACCTTGAACTGATGCTCTGATAAAGGATGCAGGTATTCCAAGTGGTGGCTTAACCCACTGCACCACAATGCCCACTCCACTTAAATGTATTTAAAGAAGTGAATATTATGGTATGTGAGTTACATATTAAAATAGAAAAAATCCACGTAGGCTAAATTACCCTTGAAACTCTTCTCAAAGTAAAATACAGGTAGTTTTTACTCAGTATAAAAATAAATTGCCATTAAAAATGTTTATTTATTTGTTTGAAAGGCAGAGCAATAAGGGGAAGGTGGATATCTTCCATCTGTGGGTTCACTCCTTCAAATACCTGCAACAGCCAGGGCTGGAACCAGGAGCCAGAAACTCCATCTGGGTCTCACAGGTGCCTGGCAGGGACCCAGGTACTTGAGCCATCATCTGGCTGCCTCACAGGGTTTGAGCTAGCAGGAAACTGGATAGGAAGTGGAAGTGGGACTTGAACCTAGGCACTCAAAACAGGATGTTGATGTCCCAAGTGGTAGCTTAACCTGCTGCATCACAATGCCCACTATATAAATTGCCTTTTTAACTTTTGAGTACTAAAGTAGTAAGTTTGCATTTAGGAGCCCTCTCCCTCTACTCCTCAATGTATCTTATGACTTCAGTCATACTCAGTTATGTGAGAGTCTCATAAAGTCTAACCATTCCAAAAGGATTTATGTGTACCTCTGGGTTTATGAGAAGAATTTTTCAAAAACTAATTTCCATTAATTTTTTAAGTTCTACAAGGGTTTCATACTTTTTAAACATGTAATAATCTTACATATTTATGCTATTTCAAGTATCTACCCAGCTTGTACTAACTGAATCACAGTAATTGCCATTTCCATTCCCCTATCATTTCTTTGTTTGCAGCCTTCAAGCACCCGTCTGCCAGATCTTCATAAAATACATAATAGGTTATTGTGAACAAGATACTTTCTAAGAGGTGCTCAGGTGCAGAGAGGCAAGCAAGTGTATTTCTAGGCGTTCCTCTTATACTCCGCATCTCTTCAAAAGGATCTGTGTGGCCAAGGGACCCTATTGTCCTTTACCTCCCATTTCTTAATTTATAGGAGAAAGGCTTACCTCTCCCGTCTGAAATTCTTGACATGGTAAAAACCTCGTCCCAGAGTTGGACAATTTGAGATACTGATGTTGGAGAAGCCTTCTTTAATCAAGATATCGTAAAACCAAGATAAAGCGCTGCACTTTCCTTGCCTACTACTTTTGGCATAGAAAGAAATCCACACAACCGACACGAGAAATTCCTTTCCTCCATGTTTGCTTGTTCATAGGAGCAATATATAAAAACGGAAACTAGGAACGCAAGCCAGCTCAGGACTCCAAACAATGCCTAGACACTGGCTTCCGAATGTGCTCAGCCAGGAGGCGGACACTCACGCGGAGGGTAAGAAGGAAGAAGCGGCGGAGGGTAAGAAGGAAGAAGCGGCGGACCCGCAACGCAGCCGCTCGCGGGCATACCCCTCCCCTGCGACCGACCTAGGTTGCAGCAGTGCGCGAGCTTTCCCTGACACGCCCGTTCTCTGCAGTGCCCGTCTCGGCACACTTTCCTGCCGTGGGTTGAGTCCACGTGTGTGGCAGAGAATACACGACTAGTGCCGGGCGGCTCCAGAGAAACCACCCCCTCCCGGGCACCTGGCGGGCTGCACACCTCAGCAGGTGCCCTTTAGAGTCGGACAGCGTAGAGAGGGATCTCAGGGAGCGGCGCTAGCAGTCACCGTAGACTCACTGCAGCTAGGCAGAGCCTTAAGGGCGCCAAATAGGGCAGGTCTACTCGGAAGAGTAATCACAGGAACAGCCCTGACCATGAACGGCCGCAGGAAAGCCCACCAGACCGCTCACAGGTGTAAGAACACGGCCTAGAGTGGCGGTTCTTCCTCGCCCCGCCCCGCCCAACACACGCGGCCACGCCCACGACCACGCCCACGGTCCCTCCCCGTAGATGGGGGCCACCGCACACCACTTCCGGTTCCAGCCTCCCTACCGGCCTCCGTCGCTCTCCGCCCTTCTCTCCCCTGCTCTTTACCCCGCCCCTACCGCCTCTCCGACCGTCACGTGAGGGTGGGCGCGGAGGCTGCCGGGAGTAGTACTGCCGGTGGGTCAGGGATCGGTCTTATCATGGCGGTTCCGGTCGGGCAGTGACCAAGGATTTGCTGTCCAGAGGAGCAGTGGACGTTGTGGGTGACTCCACCTATCTGAGTGGAATGCGAGGACGCCGGGGCGAGCGCTGAGGAGCGGCGGTGACGGGGAGGGGATCAGTGTTGCGTCCCCGGGAGCCGAGGCTGCGGCGTCTGTTCCTTCTACTCGTCTCCAGGCTCCAGTGCGGGGCCCCGCCCGGCCGGGCTAGGCCGCCGGGCGGCGGCGGCGGTAGCTGCGGCAGCCGCCGGCTCAGCTGTTGCGGGAGGGCCGGAGCGCGGGTGGCACCGCCGCGTCTGCCGCAGCGATGGCCCAGTGTGTTCAATCAGTGCAGGAGCTGATCCCGGACTCCTTCGTGCCCTGTGTCGCCGCGCTGTGCAGCGACGAAGCCGAGCGGCTCACTCGTCTCAATCACCTGAGCTTCGCGGAGCTGCTGAAGCCTTTCTCGCGTCTCACTTCCGAGGGTACGTGGTCGGCTGGCGTTTTCGCTGGGCTCCGGCAAAGCCTCGACCGAGAGGAGGAAGTCCGGGGCGCGCAGGGCGAGACGCGCCGTGTTTACGTCCCGGAGCGGGTGGAGGGCGCTGGAGGCAGGTTGTCAAGACAGCTCCTACCCAGCCTCCGGTTTCTCTGAACAGCTCTTCCCTCGGACGGTGCCGGCAGTTCCGTAATTAGTATAAAAATAAAGAGAGCTCTCGAGAAGGGCGTCGATACTGTTCTCGAGGGCCGAGTGGAGGAATCGGGCAGTTGCAAGGCTCATAGGGAGAGGATGTGGCCTCTTAGGCCGACGGGGACTAAGAGGAGGGGAAGACTTGTCATTCCCCCGTGGTGTTCAGCTGAACTCTTTGTTTAGGTCTTGAGTATTTCATTCTTGCATTGGGACTTCTCTCAGTCCGAACTGTTGAGCTGTTTCATTTTTTCTTTGAGCACTTAAAAACATTTTCTTAGGTGTACAGTATTTGGCTTAACCTCCCAGGGAATCAAAGGTCGCGGTTACTCAGGGTATTTGGAGTTAATCTAGGTTATGGGGAAAGGAAAATCCTAAAATTTGGTTTTTCAAATGGAAACTTAACTAGGGAGAGAAATGTATCCTGTTGAGGAATTGCCTGTTTTCTCCAGCTTTAGGCTCTTTGTTAAGGAAAATGCTATTGGTTAAACCATGCTTGTCATTTTATTATTCCAGGAGTACAACAGGTAATGGTAGAATCAGTGCTTTGCAAGTGCATATAAAGTTCTTTGTTCAGGTCTCTAAAATGAAGGCTCTCCTGTGCTGTACCACAACGCCTGCCCTTGGTGTGCGTCCACTTCCCCTCTGCAGACTGGCAAAGGAGGGAAGGAGTTGTGCATTAGTGGCTAGGTGGAGGGTTAATAGTAAGGAGGACGGCTGTCTTTCCCTTTAATACATCTGTGCCAAGTAATCAGCTGTGATGTTTATTTGGTTCTGATGATGTTCACTAAAAAACAATGCTGTACTATAAATTCTTGTATTTATAAGCCACAGGTGTTTTTTGGGAGAAGTGCTCCATTACAGGTTGGCTGCATATGAAGGAGAGAGGGAGCTGTCCAAAAAAACTTGGATATTCGGCCGTCTGTACTTTAGTCATGACCTTAGCACCTCCAGTGTTGTATTAAGTCAACAACAACAACAACAAAAAAAAACAAACTGCCCCTCTATCCTGTACTTAAATTCTTAAAAACAGACAGAAACACTTGAGAACCAGTTTACTATTTCCAACTTTATTAATAAATAATTAATACCTGATCCCTGCTTTATGTAGTTTTCCTCTCTTGAGTCTCATTAAATTCTATGTTATTCTCATTTAGAATTTTTATTTATTATTTATTTGAAAGACACCTCTGCACGGGTGTCCGCCTCCTGGCAGAGCACATTCGGAAGCCAGTGTCTAGGCGTTGTTTGGAGTCCTGAGCTGGCTTGCGTTCCTAGTTTCCATTTTTGTATATTGCTCCTATGAACAAGCAAATATGGATGAAAGGAATTTCTCATGTCAGTTGTGTGGATTTCTTTCTATGCCAGAAGTAGTAAGTAGGCAAGGAAAATGCAGCGCTTTATCTTGGTTTTACGATATCTTGATTAAAGGAGGCTTCTCCGACATCAGTATCTCAAATTGTCTAACTCTGGCTCAAGGTTTTTACCATGCTAAGAATTTCAGATCTTCTGTCTATCTTCGAGTTGCAGCTGCTCCACTTCTGATCCAATTCCCTGCTAATGGGCCCGAGAAAGAAGTGGATGTTGGTCCAAGTGCTTGTGCCCCTGCCACCCACATGGATGGAGTTCCTGGTTCCTAGCTTCACAGCTGTTTGGGTAGTGAACCACTGGTACAAGATTCTGTCTGTTTTTCTCTGCCCTAACCTCCCCAACCCTGTCATTCTGCCTTCATAAACCTTAAGAGGAAAAAAAAAGCCTGGAGCCTGGAAGTCAATGTGAGTCTCCCCTGTGGGTATCAGAGACTAAGTACTTGAGCGATCACCTGCTGCCTCCCAGAATGGTCATTAGCAGGAAGCTAGAATTGGAAGTGGAGCTAGGATTCAAACCTAGGCACTCTGATACGGGATGCAGATGTCCTAAGTGGTGTCTTCACCACCTTGCCAAATACCCACCCCTGAAGGCTACCACACTGGCCAATGGTAACATAATGTGAGTGACATATATAATTGAAAGCTTCTGGTGGCCACATTAAAAAGATAAAAAGGAACAGATGAAATTAGTTTTAGTATACATTTTATTTAGCCCAGTTATTTCTATAATGTTACCATTTCAGTATGTAGTCTGTATAAAAGTTACCGAGATATTTTACATTTTTTTGTAAGATTTATTTATTTGAAAGGTTTAGTTACTGAGAGAGGGAGAGTCAGAGAGAGGTCCTCCATCCTCTTTTCTTAAATGACTGCAGTGACCCGGGCTGGCTAAGCCAAAGCCAAGAGCCGGGAACTCTATCCAGCTCTCCAGTATGGGTGACGGGGCCCAATCCCATGGGCCATCTTCCCTTGCTTTCTCAGGTGTATTAGCAGGGAGCTGGATCAGAAATGGAGCAGACAGGACTTGAACTGGTGTTCAGTATTGGCCCCTTACATTTTTTTTTTTTTAAAGATTTATCTATTTTTTTGAGAGGCAGAGTTACAGACAGAAGAGAGGGAGAGGCAGGAAGGTCTTCTATCCCCAATTCGCTTCCCAAATGGCCGCAGTGGCGGAGCTGGGCCAATCCGAAGCTGGGAACCAGGGGCTTCTTCTGGGTCACCCACGTGGGTGCAGGGGCCCCAGCATTTGGGCCATCTTTGACTGCTTTCTGAGGCCATTAGCAGGGAGCTGGATCAGAAGTGGAGCAGCTGGGACTCAAACCAGCCCTGCAGGCAGAGGTTAAACTGTTATGCCACAGCACCAGCCCTGGTCCCTTAGATTCTTTTTCATTACATTTGTGTGCATTTTATATTTACATTATATCTCAATTTAACTAAACACATTTTAAGTAGTCACATGTCCCCTTTTCCTTCTGTATTGGACAGTGCAATGATTGAGGCTCAATATTAGTACACTCCTGTTTTTAATGTTTATTAATTAAATTTTGTTTGTTTCTTTGAAAGGCAGGGTGAGAGAGAGATCTTCCATGTGCTGGTTCACTCCCCAAATGCCTGCAACAGCCAGGAGTGGACCAGTGTGAAGCCAGGAGCCTGGAACTCCATTCAGGTCTGCAGGTCTTCCTCATGGGTGACAGGGACTCAGTACTTAAGCCATTATATGCTACCTTCCAGAGTGTGCATTAGCAGGAAGCTGGATTGGAAGCAGAGTCCCTCCGTGGAGCTAGATTCCAGGCACTTTGATAAAGGATGTGGGAGTCTCAAGTGGCTGTGTAACTCACTGTACCGCAGTGCCTGCCTGCATCACTGGTATACTTCTATCCCCCTCTGCAGACTTGGAAAGGAGGGAAAGATTATAATGAGTTGTATATTAAGGAAATGGATAGGGGGAGGGTTACTAGAAAGGAAGAGGCTATCTCCCTTTTGAGGAGGAGGATGAGGTTAAGATGTGGGCAAAATATGTGAATTTTAACTGAGTGGTTGAGGAACAGTGAAGAAGTTATCCCTACTGGTATATAGAATGGTAAGACAAGGTTACCCAGATAAGGAAGAACTGTTAATTCTGGGAAGGAGATTTTGGATTTCATGTCAAATGGTAAGTATGAGACATAGATTCTTGAGCAAGGCCAAGAAATTTTTGGAGATTTGTCAGCTGTATGGTTTATAAGGAGAGATAAGAGCTGATGTATATTTAAAAGTTAAAAGATTTTTGGGTTTTTGTGGAAAAATACATTTTTTAAAAGCTATGCAGAAGAAGGTTGGTGGAACAAATTTGTGTACTATTTATGTGTAGGGCCTGAAAATAAGAGTTTAGACTTGATATAGTAGGCAGTAAATAGCTATTTTAAGTTCCTTAGATTCATTTTTAGAAAAAGATTTATTTATTTATTTGCAAGGGTTATACAGAGAGAGAGGAAGAGAAAGATCTTCCATCCCTGGTTCACTCCCCAAATGACTGCAAAGGCCAGGCCTAAGCTAGGAATCAAGAGCTGCTTCAGCGTCTTTAACGTGGGTACAGGGCCCCAAGCACTTGGGCCATCTGCTGCTGCTTTTCCAGGCAAATTAGCAGGGAGCTGGATCGGAAGTGGAGCAGCCAGATCTCGAACTGGCGCCTGTATGGGATGCAGGTGGCAACTTTATCCACTATGCTACAACGTTGGCCTCACCTTAGGTGCATTTAAAAACCTGAGAGTTTTTTTTTTTTTTTTTTTTAACTTATTTGACAGAGTCATTGGCAGTGAGAGAGAGAGAGAGAGAGAGAAAGGTCTTCCTTCCGTTGGTTCACTCCCCAAATAGCTGCTATGGCCAGTGCTGTGCCAATCTGAAGCCAGGTGCCTGGTGCTTCTTCCTGGTCTCCCGTGTGGGTGCAGGGGCCCAAGCATTTGGGCCATCCTCCACTGCCTTCCTGGGCCACAGCAGAGAGCTGGGCTGGAAGAGGAGCAACTGGGACTAGAACACGGCACCCATTTGGGTTACTGGTGCTGCAAGCGGAGGATCAACCAAGTGAGCCATGGCGCTGGCCCTGAGAGTATTTTTTTTTTATATTACAAGTGGTTGTTGTATGTATTTTGATGATACTTGATATGTGTTTGAGACCTAACTTATTGTTCACACGTTTTGAGATCCTAATATTTAAGAATTTCCACTGACCATCTGTTTCAAAAAGTAGAGGTGTTAATGTTAATTAAGTTGTATTGTTTGCTTAGTGATGGCTTTGATAACTCTAAGTAATACTTCAATATATTGTTCAGACATTTTGTAAGTTTTCACTCTACTTAAACACTAACTTTTGAAAATACATGCTTTCATATTTAAAAAGCATATTATTACATTTGGCCCTCCATATCTTTGAGTTCTGCACCCAGAACTGTAG